ATTTTGTGTTTAATAACTTGCCGAATTCGCTCTCTGCAGGTTCCGATATATCTACTGAAATTGAAAAATGAAAAAGTATTTTTAATTTATATTATAATTTTTATTCATCCAAACAGCATCTCGTAGCTTAAAAAAATAAACTAAAATGAAAAGTCCATGAAAAAAATTCAAGCAATGGACTATTTTCAGACAATTTTTTGTATTTGTAAAAGACTTTTCAATAAACAACAGATATTGTTATAAATAATTTATATAGGTAGTTAATTCACAAAAAAAAATTAAGTAAAAAAGCATACATATAGAAACTGAAATACATTGTTGATAATTCGTCATCCAATTACACTTCAAAAGGTCCAAAATTAAAACCCAAAATGATTGGGTATTAATTTTTATAAAGCTTAGGGGAGTTTTTCAATCTAAAAACGGTTTTTTGTTAGCAAATAATTAATTAATCTACAGGTAAAATTCCGGTTGGTAAATTAATTGGATGATTGAATTATTTAAGAAAGGGTTAATTCTTTTTTGTCAAAGGCAAAAGGTTCTCTTTTAATGAATAAAATCGTGAGGAAAATAAGTTTTGTGATATTTTATGGCTCGTTAGCCCTTTCAAACTTACTTTTTGACTTAAAATTGCCAAGGAACAGTATACAATAAAAGACAAAGCAAGCATCTCATCTAAGTTGAAAAAACTTTTCCAGCTAAAAGAAAAAAAAAGGAAATTACATTTTAATTTGCACCTGAACCTGACTATTTTAACTAAACTTTTTCCAAGTTTTCAAAAGTTTACTTTTTTGCGGCAAGAGAGCTAAGATAGCCTTCACTTGGTTGGCTTTTGGATGATTAATGGCTTAGCAATTTATGCAATCTGGATTATATTGAGTGAATTTGGTAGGAAAATTTTACTTGATGGAGCAAAAAAAAAAAGAACAACATCAAGTCACCGGTATTTGAGTTTCATTCCACTCATAACATAAATTAGAGAAACGGTAAATATACAACATCTCGAAGTTCAATTATTATATTTACTTTAATGCAACTTGTGTTTTTAAGAAGTTTTATTTTAATTTTTTAGAATAATCCATCCTTATTTTATCATTCACGAATCAGATGAAACAAAAAATTACCAACCAAAACGAACGTCGATTACTAATAGGTACGTCAATTTGATAATATACAAATATGAAATTCCTTTTATTTGTGTGTTCAAGAAACGACATACGTTTAGTCACTAGAACGACTGGTATTTCTGAATAAGTATTAAAAATTCTATATGTTTCTATGACGATGCGGACTTATAGACTAAAATTCTATGCTGTTGCAAGCCTGTATTTATATAATGATAAATGTTGAATAAGCGAAAACTTGTTAAAACTCCTTATTTTAATAATACGTCGTCAGAAGTAGCCCTATAATTCATCCCTTACTAAGTTTGAGAAAATTGGGCTTGGTTTTCGAAAGGTTTCAATTCTATGCTCACTTTTACATCCGCAGTTTGGTTTTCCTTCCAATAATTATTATGACGACATACAATAGTATATTATGCAATGATCATGTAATGATAGCCATTAATACACGAGCATGTTGTAGGATACGAAACGAGCCGCAGGCGAGTTTCGTATATAACATGCGAGTGTATTAATGGCCATTACATGAGAGTTGCATACACTATTTTTTCTACTTGCATTAATAAATGAAAAACATTTATTTTATAAGAATAGTAAACTTCTCAACTGATGACAATTTTTGACAATTTGACAATTTAAAAAATTAAGATCTAGACGTCATTCGGGCATAAATTCCGCCCCCGATTTATTAATTTTTTGTTGTTTCTTCTGGTAAATACTAATAGAAACAATCCAAAATTCCAAAGCAAGTCTGTTATTTTTATATAAACATTGTTCATGTTCAAAATACTCGAATCCAGTGGCGGAAAAATCTGTATCAGAATGAAAATCTGTATCGTAATGAAGTTCATTATGAAACAGATTTTAGGCGTATTATGAAACGTCAGTAGAAAATTAGTATATTGTTTTATTTGGAGTAAAAGTAATACTTTTTGTGGCGAGAGTAAATGTTTGACAATTTTAGACGAGTCACAAAAAGTTCTTTTTTCCGAATAAAACATGCGATTTTTTCCGCAAACGGTGTTCAAAGCGATGGAATCTAGGAAATTTCTGTGACGTCACTTTTTTGTCCGGCCGTGAGCGTACAAAAAAGTACTTTTTTGTACGCTCACGGAACACGCGGACAAAAATGTAACCAAAAAAATGACGTCTGTGAAGTCAAACTTCAATATTAAGGATTGAGGTTAAAAAAGTCGTCATTTTTTGACGTTTGCGGAAAAAGAATATTGTAACTATGATTACATTGATTATTATAATAATTACAATAGGGAACTGATAAGTCCTTGCTTAGATTCCTTGTATTAGTTATAGAACGCACTAATTAATTGTTGGTCATCTGTCATCATCTGTCTTTAGATTGTCTTGTCAGAGTGACATAAAAAGTAAGTAAGTAAGTAAGTAAATCTTTATTTAGCAAAAGCTAGTAAACAAACATAACAATATATAATATAACAATTTATAATAAGTTAATTTAATTTAAAGTTAATTATTCGCCTCTCAAATAATCACATAAACGTTTATTGAATAAACCAATTGTATTTACATTCTTAATTTCGTCGGGCAAGGCATTATAAAGGCGAATGCCTTCAGAAAATAGTGAGCCTTGCAAAAAGTTTCTATTAACAAACTGAACATTTAAATCAGTTTTTGAACGTAACATTCGCGAGTGAATTTCGAATCTGGTGACAACCATTTTCCACAAATATTCTGGAACTTTTTTATTTACAATCTTATAAACAAATAACATGTTCGCCCTTCTAATACCCTGCTCAACTGATAGCCACTTCAATTGTTCCATCATTCTACTTATGGCAGTATACCTGTTGCAACCCAAAACTATTCTCATACATTTATTTTGCAGTATTTGTAATCTACATATTTGCTCCTTGGGACATGCAAGCAGAAGTGATATACAGTAGGTGAAGTGGGGGTACACAATTGTGTTGTAAATCAACATTTTCGACCACTGTGACAAATTCAAAGAAATACGTCTAAAAAAACCAACCTTTTTCCCCAATTTTTTGCATAAGTATTCTGCGTGACTGGCAAAGGTCAATTGAGCGTCCAAAATAACGCCCAGATATTTAATCTCTTTCACATACTCTATAGGCTCCCTGTTAATACTAATTTCAAGATTACTAGATAGGCATCTTGCACAGTTAGTTTTAGAACCAAATAACATATATTTAGTTTTACTAGCATTGAGTTTTAACTTGTTTGCACACAACCAGTCATACAGAATGCCCAGCTCAACATTCATGGTGTCAGATATCACATTAAAATCACTTCCAGCTACAGATATTACTGTATCATCAGCAAAAAGATTGACCAGAGAGTTTTTACATACACTGTATAAGTCATTAATGTAAATTATGAACAGCAATGGGCCCAAAACGCTACCCTGAGGTACACCATAATCACTGGCTATTTTATTAGATTTTATATTGCCCAATTTTGTTAAATGGTAACGATTGCTTAAATAATTACTGATCAGATTCAAAGCTGCTTCACGTACTCCATATGATTTCAATTTTTTGATTAACAAACTACGATTTATCGTCTCAAATGCACGCTTTAAATCAATGAAAACGCTAAGAACCACATTGCCGTCATTAATTTCTTTCCGCCATTGTGAACAAACAAACTGAATAGCCGTCTCACAAGAGTGTCCATCTCTAAACCCCGATTGACCTGCATATAAAAGTTTGTTTCTTTCAAAAAAAGTTTTGAGTTGATCCCTCATGACAATTTCAATTATTTTGTCAACTACTGGCAGAAGGTTTATAGGTCGACACTCTTTCGGACGTGTGGGCGCGGGCACTTTGGCTATAGGTACAATAACACTTGTTTTTAATTCTACAGGTATCTGTCCTTTTTCTAAAACTAAATTTATTACATTTAAAAGAGGATACCCTATCACACAAAACAGATCTTTTAACAGTGACACAGTGAGATATTCGTCCCCTGACCCTTTATTCTTCAAGGAGAGCACAATTTTGCTTAACCTATTGAAGCTAATTTTATTGAAGCAAACTAAATAGTCCTCACTAACACGAATTTGGTCCGATAACGCTGGAAGTACTTTCTCTTCTATTCCTTCTGCAATGTTTTTTATACTATCACTCTAATAGTTATTAAAATTCTCCACTGGACTGCCGTTGTATCCATCAAAAGATATCTTTTCAACTTGTAGGGTTTTATCACTCTGGCCTAATAACTCTTTCATCGTTTTCCACATTTTTTTGCTGTCATATTTAGAATGGTCAATTTTACTTTCATAATATAGTTTCTTTTCATTTCTGATAATAGTTGTTAGTTGGTTTCTTCTTCTCTTATAGTTCTCCCAGTCCCCTCCATCTTTTGTAATTTTAAATTTTTTGTAGGCAATATCACGTACTTTCTGAGCATCCTTGATTTTTTTATTGGTCCATGGAACTGAGGGTCTACAAACTATTTTCTCTACAGTGCAAACAGTTTCGTTCTGTCCAATTTTGTATTCACCAAATACCGTCTTGGAATAAAGTATTTCAATAAGTTCTAGTGTTTCAGTGTCCCAGTAAATACATAGCATATTTTGGCGACGAGCTCTGGAAACGGGCCATAGTCAATCAATCGAGGTTTGTAGTCCGCCTCGCTTGGAGGTAAAATAGAAGTCAAACTGTCAAACCTCTGAAAAAAAGTCAAAAGGTCTGTCAAAAAAAAAAAAAATGTCGTTAATGGACCTTTCTCATGCAATGAACAACAAGGATAGTTTATTAAAATTTCTGCAATAAAGAAAGAGACACTTATAATGACGCGAGTTACCTGTGTGGAATGACTTTGATGTGACTTTGATTGGTTCCACCTGTCAAATTGTGCAATTTCGGTTATGTTTCTGTTTTTGTTTATTTTTAAACGTAAATATGACAAACATGTGGGGGAAAAGTTTGGAGAATTTTGAAAAGTACGAATTTGCAAATGCTAGCAAATTTTTCAGCACTAAAGGATGGACTAAAAGGCAAGTAACTAGAGGATATAAGTTTTTTACCGAACGTTATATCCACAAAGTGTTCACGGCCGGCAAGAATGTAAAAGCGTGCTGCTATCGAAGTCAAAAGAAAAATTTGAAACTTCACAGCCTTTCTATGTCTTTCCAAGAAGTCGACGAGTTGTTAGAGTTAATAGAAGCTCATTGCAGTTGTGAAGCTGGGTAAAAGACACTGATTTGATTACCTACAATATTATGAATAAAAGTCATATTTCAGCAACTCGGAATCATGCAATCACGTGGTTGGACTAGCCCATTACTTGGACGATTTAATTCGCAGAGGTTGTACTGTAATACCCGATGATGAAGAGATGTCTGGTACATCACTTCACATGCAGTGGAACAAACCCAGAGGTGCGAAAATTTTACCGGAAAAAGTGTGCACCTCTGTTTTTGCAAGTCCCATTAATACGGAAAGGAAAAAAGAGCCTGTACAATCGACCTTTAGGTGCCCTTTTTATAATGATGTGTTGAAGGAGGTAACAAATGAAGAAGTTGGAAAATTACGCGACAGTTTAGGTCCTGGAAAGTGCTTAACAAGCTTTTTCTATATAGCTGGGAACGAAAATCCGGCTCCTACAGTTTCCCTTTCCAATGGTTCGCACTTCAACAATGACTCTTTGGATTGAGCTTTAAAATAAATTTCATTTTAGGCATGTCAGCCCCTCGAGGTTCAGTCCTGGAACTCATAGATCAAGGGTTTTCCCAGACATTAGAGGTGCAGCCTTCTTCAAACGAGCGCAACTTACCTATTTCCTTACCCAATTTGCGTTCCGATGCTGTAAATATTTTGCTAAGCTTACCACCTGTGTATCACAGTAGTTTGGAGGAAATAACTTTTGAACATTCCATTGCCATCGAAAAAGCTACAAGAAATCAGTCAAAGTGTAAAATGTGGAAGGATTTGCGCCGATTGCGGTTCACAGCGTCAAATTTTGGTGCAATATGTAAGCGGCGTTTGTTTAACAACCACTTTTTGGAAGGATACATTCAAGGACCCAAGGATATATCGAACATTGGAAGTGTGCGGCATGGCCTCGAAAATGAGAATACTGCCATACGTTTGTATTTGTTGCAAAACACAACTGTAAAATATTTCAAATGTGGTCTTGTTGTGCACCCGTATGCTAGTCACTTAGGAGCTAGTCCAGATGGTATACTTTACAAAGAAGGCAATTGGGGAATATTATAAGTGAAATGCCCCTGCACCTGAAAAGCAGAAAGGCTGTCCGACTATTTAAAGATGCCAACGTTTTGCTTGAAGGAAAATGATGGCGAATTAATTTTAAAAAGAACGCACAGTTACTTCCATCAGGTCCAAGGCCAGATTTTACTAACGGGTTTGCAATTTTGTGAATTCGTAGTGTATATATTGCATAATAAGGCCTCATTTTGATTATTGTGCCTCTTTAATGTACCTATTTAATCAAAATCAGATATCCCAACTGCAAAAACTGCAAAACAAAGGAATGAGAACTATTCTAAAGTGCAGTCGATATACATCTATTGAAATTATGCTACAAGCACTTCAATGGCAAACAGTTTATAAGAGACTTTATTACTTGAGCATGGTTTTTATTTTCAAAATTGTTAAGGAGCAGAGCCCAAAATATTTTTCTAAATTTTTAATATGTAATAATCAAGTTCACAACCATAATACAAGGACACAGAACAACTTCTATATTGCTAGAGCTAACCTGAAAAGTAGTATGAACTCTTTGTTTTTTAAAGGGTTGGATGCTTACAATAAGCTACCAGACCATATAAAAGGATCAACTAATGTGAACCAATTTAGGAGGGAGCTATTAAATTTTATCTGAACTGTGTACCAGAGTTATCATGCCCTGCTGGCGTAATGTTGGGTAACTTGATTATTTGAATTGAAGTCTGTTGTATATTACTTGTGTGAAGATTAACTGATATAAAGTTGCTTAATGTTTTCAAATGGTTTGTAATGTGGGTATACCTATATAGGGACTAGCTTTGGATGGAATATTTGTGTGTTTATTTGTTTAATGTGAAAATTTCATTGATATATGCAATGTATAGATATAATATTTTGTTGTATATTAGGCATGTCCTAAATAAAGATATATATATATATGTATAAAAAGTTCGCAGGAACTACTGACTGTAACTGTAGCATTCGATTTTAACTTCTGTGATGATATGTACAAGAAATTGACGAATATATATGAAACTTACATTTGCCCTTTGCCGGCTCCAACAAATGTCGAACCTAGCATATAAATCAGCGTTGCACTTTTCAAGAAATTTTCATCTATTTAATATTTGATATTTAATATTCAATATATTAATTTATACATTTTGTTTTTGCTTTTTATTTAATTATAATAAACATTATATGTTTTTGCCCTCAATTTATGTCTGAAGACACATAGGACGCAACATACTGTGTAGATTTGTTCTATACTACCCAGCATAACGATAGGTATTTTTCTGCTTAGAATGCTATATTTTTTTAAACGGCCGATGGCCCGCTCCACATGTATTCTTTCGTGAGCAATGTTGCGGATCCACTGCACTTCATCTTTTGTAAACTGTGTGTGGCTCATTCTAAAAGTTGAATTGTTGATGTCGATATCAACACCTTCTAAGAAGGAATCTACCTGGGAACCCTTATCAGCGAGAATAATATCGCTGTTAAAAAGTTCTTTGTCAGCCAGTTTTCTTTTTAAAATTTTTATAAAACCGCTTTGTTCCATAATACTTTTGTCAGAAATCGAACCGGTAAATAGGGGGGACATGTAGATGATTGTACCATTGGGATCGGTTAGCAATAGAGATTTCAGGGTGGTACTCCCTTTATAATTGGAATAGCATTGGCTCTGTCTTACTAACGATGAAGGCGTTTCAATAAAAAATTCAGTGCAATCAAGACTTCCAACTACATTTGCATATTTTTGTTGAAATCCTATTGGGGCATTTTCAAGATGGACATTTCGATGCGGCCATATGTTCAGTTGTCCCAATCTTATGTACATGAGATTGATTCAGCACAGGAAAATTTTGCCCGCGGTAGCCTTGGACACATTAAATAGATCTCCCAATGTTTCATAGTTAAACCCTCTCCTCAGCTTCAACATAGTTAACAAAAACTGTTACTCAGAATCCATGGTGAATTTATGCACTTTATGGGGCGTTTGTGATGATTTCTGATGTATGTTTAAATCACATGTGCTTCCTGGGGGTAGGACAAAATGAAAAACAGCTAGCATTGTTTCAAAAGTCTGAAATCCGGTGTAGTACAATGTTTTCCTATTACTATTTTTGAACATGTCGAAAGTAAATAAAGCTTTAGCCTCACATACATTGTGCTTTAATCTTTCATTTTCCATCTTTAAATACTCCACTTCTTGTTTATGAGTAGATAATTCTCTTTCACAATTATTAAGTTTATTCTTCAGAAAATCAACCTCTGCTATTAAATTTTAATTCACCTCCTCCAGTCTTTTCTTCTCCACAGACAACCATCCACTGAGACTGGGCAGCTCTTTTGACATTACATCTCCGACGGCTTCCTTTTCACTCGACAAAGTTTTGTCCAACTTCAATCTTTTTGCATCCGGTCCAACTGTTGGGATTGAAATATTTTCTTTGTTATCATTGACTGCTAGTTCGGGTATTTGAGGGTTCTTTGTAGGCACTGCATTGGATGCTAATTTGTGTACGTTACCACCGCGGATAAAATCCGTTGCACAAAAATGTTTGCAGCAAACCTTTAATTGAACAATTATTATTGTATTTGATATAGAAATCATTATTTCCTACTTAAATCGTCTTCAGTCATGTTTAAAGCACGTAACCATTGTTTTCTTACAATTTGATTCCTTGGGAACTTGTGAAAAGAAACGTTCGACTCCTTTTTCGCCTTACTCGGACACGATCTCACACAACACATTTGAACCATTGTATAATAAACAGTATTTTTAATAATTATCAACTATATTGATTGATTTTGACTGATTATTGTCATTATTGAGGTTAGCGTAAAAAACGTCAAGTTAAGACTGCGTTCATTTAATTGAAAGTTTTATTATCTGTCACCCACAAGCTGCGCGCGCAGCACAGGTAAAATGAGAAAGGTCCATTGGAAGCATAGAGCCGTTCAATCCAAAAGTAAGCGATATCACTACCTACATTGAGAGGTTAGAACAACTTTTTAAGTGTAATGATATCACACTGGAAGAAAAAAAGGTACCCTTGTTTTTAACTTTGATAGGGGGGGAGGCCTATGGTATATTGAAGGACCTGTTAGCGCCTACCTTGCCAAGTTCAAAGGGATATGAAGCATTGGTCACTGAGTTAAAGCAACATTACAGTCCTAAGCGCTTGATAATTGCCGAGAGATTCAAATTTCATACAGCATTTCAAGAAGCAAATGAAGATATACAGACATTCGTTGTGCGTCTGAAGAATTTAGCCAAGTCATCTGAGTTTCAAAATTTTCAAAACGAGGCTCTAAGGGATCGGTTTGTGTGCGGAATCAAGTCGGAGTCTATAAAACGTAAACTGTTGACAGAAGCAAAGTTAACATTTGACAGTGCCCGTAAAATTGCAGTTGCAATGGAGTTAACCGAAGGTCAATTAAAAGTAATGGATCCAGATATTGGTCAAGTCAATAAAGTCTATCAGAAAAAGTATTATGCAAAAGCAGGATCTAGTCGTGGTTCTAGTAAGTCAAACTCAAGTCATTTCCATAAGTCCAGTAATCAGTCAGGTGCGACTATGTCACAGTCGAAGTCACAGACCAATAATAAAAATTCTAAGTGTAGAAGGTGTAATCGTATTCATTTTGACTATAGTAAGTGTCCAGCAGTGTCCTGGAAGTGTTATTCATGTTACCAGGTAGGGCATACTGCCAAGTCTATAATGTGTAAAAACAGAGTTTACGAGTTTGAAGAGGAACAAATTACAAAAAGACGTTGATTTCGAGTCAGATGAGTCCGAAGATGACTTTGAGTTAGGTTTGTTATCCGAGGATATGGGTGAGTTTACTATCAAGTCTTTAAAGTCTAATGGTAACGATACGCTAAGGGTCAACATGATTATTGACAATAAGAATTTTCGAAATTTAGTTCTTGAGCCTGTAGATTTTAAGTTAAGAGTTTTAACTGGTCAAAAAGCTGAGATTCTGGGTCAAGTTTGGGTGCATGTTGCGTATTTGCGTAAAATGTTTTGTTTACCATTGGTAGTACTTAATTCTGAAGTATCATTTGTACCCCTTTTGGGTCGAAATTGGTTGAATGTGCTCAATCTTGATTGGAAAAATAATGTTCTGGATGAAAGTGTTAAATTTAAGTAAGTTCACAGGAAACAAGTCAGTTGATGGTCAAATATTTCAATTCATGTCAGAAGATGTCAAAATTACATTGATTAATTTGATAAAATCTGAGTATGAAAGTTTGTTTAAAGATGAACCTAATTCGTTTATCAGGGGGTTCAAGGCAGAGTTTAAAGTCAAAAATGGTTTCAAACCAATATTTCATAGAGCATATGAAATGCCTTTTTCACTAAAATCTAAAGTAGAGGAAGAAATTTCAAAAATGGTTGAATCTGGTATTTTAACGAAAGTCACACACAGCAAATGGGCAAGTCCCATTATTGTAGTTCCAAAAAAAAATTCTACTGATATTAGACTATGTGTGGATTTTAAAAAAACATTAAATCGGGCTATTGATACTGAGCATTGTGTTTTGCCTTTGCCAACCGATATTTTTGCTAGTTTGAATGGAGGTAACTGTTTTTCTGTTATAGATCTAAAGGGTGCGTATCAGCAATTACAAATAAGTGATTCTTCAAAAGAACTTTTCACGATAAACAGCCATATGGGTCTTTTCAGATTTAATAGACTAACATACGGAGTTAGTTCCGCTCCAAGTATTTTCCAATGTATAATGGATGCAATTTTGGCTGGTTTACCTAAAACTAAGTGTTATCTTGATGACATTTTGGTTCATGAAGAAACCATGGAAGAATGTAATGAAACTCTTAAAAATGTTTTAAAAAGATTAAAAAAGTTTAACGTTAAAATTATTAAAAACAAATGTAAGTTCTTTGAACACTCTGTTGTATTTTTAGGTCATCAAATAGATAATAAGGGCATCCATCCTACAGACGAGAAAATAGAGTGTATAAGTAAAGCACCTTCACCTCAAAACGTGACAGAGT